ACTAATCAAGATCTATATCAACTAAGAGTTGACATGGAAGATTTTGACGGACAAAAACGGTTTGCTCAGTATTATAGTTTCCGAGTGTCAGATGAACAAGACAAATATCGACTGTCACATGGATCCTATACCAAAGGTGATGCAGGAGATTCACTGACTCGGCAAAATGGTATGCAGTTTTCAACTAAAGATCAAGATAATGATCTATACCCTGGTTCGTGTGCTCAAACATTCAATGGTGCATGGTGGTATAGTCATTGTCTCGATTCAAATTTGAATGGTGGATATTTACATGGACACCATCCGAATATTTATCACACAGGAATGAACTGGAGAGAATTTAGAGGCGAGTATTATTCCTTAAAGACATCAGAGATGAAAATTCGTCCTGTTTGGTTCAAACCTTGATTTTCCTGGTTGTATTTCGCTGATATTTATGAACTCTTTAGCACAACTGTCATTACATGAATAAATTGCTTGTGCTTTTCTTCGAATAAACTGACTATGCTTGAGTGAAAATGTTTAGATTTTTTTGTTAACTCTCAGATGCCGTTTACAGTTTCTCATACGAGAGCTGTAAGTGGGTTCAACCGGACACATCTATAGAATACTATAGAAGAACGCAAGTTTCATCTTCAGTAATGCTGAATATCTTTAGAGTGGGTGGCGGTGTGGATTCTATTTTCACCTAGCACTCACACTCAACAATTTTCTGCCAAATTAGAAGTCCCCGAAAAGTTTCTGGGCTAAAGAGATTTAAAGGATGCGACCGATATAGAAAAAAAAGAGTACTTTATAAATGTGGATGATGTTTTCATGGAACAGTAATATTAGTCGAAACTAAATATTTCAAATACATGCTTTTCAATAAAGTACATACTTTTTTTAGTATCTGTTTCAGTTGTACTGATCTCGGACAAATCCGTTATTGTCCAACAGTATATAGTAAATTGGGAGAAAGATAGTAGTACGAATATTTTTTCCTGAATAGTGTTAAATGCTTAATAAATTTAGTTTCTTTGTTCGATCGAAAAATTATTCATCGTTAATAAATAAACGTTTTTGTGTAAAATATCGATCAGTCATGCATATATTATTAATAAAAAAACGCATCAATCTTCGGTCTAACTATAATATAATTGACTAGAAGGATAAGAAACTATTGATTAATTGAAAGTCATTAGAGAAAATAATAATAAAAAAGACATTAAACTCTTCTATTGAATACTTGACATAATCAAATAATAATAATTCATGTTTGATGAAATAAATCTTTTTGTTTCTAAATTTATGAGCAAAAAAAGAATAATTTGAGATAGCATTCCAATAGAAGCGTTTTTATAGATTAAAAAACTTTAATATGTATATATAAAGATTAACTTCAGATCGATTATGCAAAGATGATAAACAGAATTTTTGTAAATTATGATTTCTATATAAGAATATTTTATATATGGATGAATGATCACATCATTGCGAAATAAAGGTCATCGAGTATGATTTATGCGAACTTGAACTCTTAGCTGTCATATGTGTTAATACGATTGAACAGTATTAACGAATAATATTTTCTTATTCCATACGAGATATAACTAAATTTCATTATATTTTCTATTATACTTATACGGTGTCTCCCTCTTTCAGGAAAATACCCTATACAACCGTATTATTGGTTATATTATTTGAAGGAGGCGTGCTAGTTATATGGTTTTTATTTTCACATCTTATTATTGACGTACATAATCAAATCTTCGATTGTGTTCAAAAAAATCTATTAGAAAACATTTCCATGTATTTATCAGACGAAGTCATTTATGTTTGTTTACTTCTTGTATCAATACCAATTGGCTTTCTGTTCAAAGATTCTCGTCATACAAATTTTAAGGCATGGTCATCAACATTAATCGGTTTTCTTTTTGCTTTAATTGTTTGTCGATGGGATATTTTCCATTCATTAATAACAACAGCTGTAACATGTCTTATATTAGCTAGCGTAACCGCAAGGTAATATTATTCTTTCATAGTAATTAATATTCTCGTTTCTATTTAAATATAGATATGTTCATATAGCAACATTTATATGGTGTTTTTCATATCTATTATTTTTTCGTACAATGGATTTTTTCTCAATGCGATTACCGGTATCACATAGTAATGCTATACAATTAATGTTAACACTTAAAGTATGTAAACTAACTAAAACATGAGTTCTCATTTAGAATGGGAAATTCTATATCATATCATAAATTTTTGTTATTGTTTTTCGTTTTTTTTATAAATATTATTTGATATAGTTATTTTGGCAACATTATCTTTTCATAGCTTGTCGGTATTGCTTTTGAACGGCATGATTCATATATACGTCTGAAAACTATTCGAAAACAAACACATGCTGACGAAAGTGAAAAATTACAATTACAAGATAAATATTTATCTGTTAAAGTTTCGACGATAAGCGTTTTTCAATATGCTTATTGTTATATTGGTCTTCTAACTGGTAAGTTTTATTTTCTACTTAAAAATTAATAATCGATTTGTGTAGGTCCATATTATCGTTATCGAACCTATCATGATTGGCTTGAAATGAAACATGGCGTACATATTAATGGTTTAGCATTTATGAGAAAACGTGTTATATTTGGTTCAATTTATATATTGACTTATTTACTTTTATCAACAATTGTTTCATTTAATGTATGAAGTTTTAAAGTTTATATAAAATTTAGAAAAAAAAAATCTTTATTTAGGATGCACTTGATGATAAATTTTATGATAATCCATTATGGTATCGATTACTTTATATGCCGTTGATTTTTACATTGTTTCGTTTTCGATTTTATTCGGCTTGGTTATTAGCTGAATGTATGTGTATGTCAGCAGGTTTTGGTGCATATCCATTAGCTAGTAAACCTAAACCAGGTTTGGATATATATATATCGATATATTGATATCGAAAGTGAAATTTTATCTGTTCATTTAGGTCAAGGTCCAACAGATCTTGTTGCTTTAAAACAAGCGTAAGTTTATAAATGAACTATTTTGTATTTATAAATCAATAATTCAATTTTAGTTATGAACAAGCACCAAATACAATAGCTTATGATTTTGAAACAATTCATAATATAGATGAATGGAAATGTGAATCAGCATTGACAGTCAAAGAAGTACTTCGATATTGGAATATGAGTGTTCAATATTGGATGGCAACATGTGTTTATAAACGAATTAAATGGCGTCAAATTGCGTATGTAAAAAATTCTTCTTCTTTTCGTTTTGCAAGAGTTGATGATAGCTAGAGCAAAATTTCTTATTTGATTATTTTTATGAGAAAATAGTAAAACTTTTAAGAATATTTACTTTCATTAAACCTAACTAATGATATGTTTAGTCATCCAGCTACGATGTTTGTTTCTGCTTATTGGCATGGTATTCATTTGGGTTATTACATGGGAATGGTAACTACAACACCATGTATTCTTGCTGAAAATGTTATGGAATCTGGTGTACGTCGTCGTATCCCACCAAATAGTCCATTGATTCGTGTATATGATTTCTGTTCATGGCTATTTCGTACACGAATGTTTGATTATATGTCAATTGGTTTTATTCTTAAATATTTTAAATATACATGGAAATATTGGTCAAGTGTATATTTTATTGGTCATATTATTACGTTTGCATTATATCTAATTGGTATAATTGCAGTACAATTACGACCAAAAGGCAAGAGAAAAGAGATTGTTAATAAAGATTTAGGTTTGGGTACACAACCAAAAGCATCCGAAGAACAGCATCAACGATTAGAAAAAGAACAACACGAACATAAAAAAGAACTTTAGTTTGTTTTTTTTCAACAAAAAAGAAATTAAGAAAAAACAATCGTGTTTTTTTATTCTTTGTGTTTATCTTTAATTCTTTTTTCTTCGTTTTGAAATTTTTATTTTAGATCCGTTTTAGGAAAAAATAAAATAGTTTATTTTTTGTTATCAAACAAATAGATAGATAGTGATTTTTTGTCTAGGCTATGTTTAATCATGGCCGAAATGGATGTATTACAATCAAAGATTATCCAACAAAGTGAGTCTTTCTTTTTGGTTAACAAATATGGATTCTCTTGGTTGATTTTCATATCATTAATGAAAATAGTATGACTATTTGATACATTGAAGCATTGTTGAATTGACTAATTCAGTTTTCATACAATGATGATTACCAAAATACTGAATAAATTATATCATATTAAAATTCTTGTGAAATACGTTGATTATTTATAGAAGGTATTCTACTCAATTTTTCTAAAAGCTTTATTCGAAAGTTACAAGCATTCTATTATAACACCTGAGTGTAATGAGCATATGATTTCTGATGTATTAATAAGCAATAACATAAAAGCAAAGATGAAAACTTACATATTTCTCAATATATATGAATATTGTATTGGACAATGGTTAAGAAAGTAACACAAAAAATATCAAATAGAAGTCAAAACACAACTAAATGAATATGAATATTTATTTGTGATTTCCTTAACAATATGTATTTCAGAAATAAATCTATCAGAATGAAATCCGACTTGAATTTTATTGTATAAACTATTCTTATTTCTTTGATATAGTCGAAGCTTATTTAACTGAAGATAATCTTAGAAATGATTATAAATTAGCTAAATATGAACATGAAAATGATGGTTGGATACCAATTGAAGATTTAAATCAATTTAATAAATTATCAACATATAAATATGATACAATTCTTAATGCAATAAATTCAAAACGATCAAATATTATTGAATTAAATTTATGTGAACCAATATGTATACGTCGTCGACGTCAACCATTAATAGAATCAACATTTGAACAAAATCCATATTTATATCAAACTGTTGTTGTTAATGGTTTACCACGTGATGTTAAACATGAAGAATTAATGGAATTTTTCAATCGTTTTTATCCTGTTTATAAAATCAAAATGCTTTCATCAACACGAACAACAAATTCTTTTAGTGGAAAAATTCATGTGATATTTGAAAAAAGTCAAGATGCTTTCACATTTGTTCAAAGATCAGAATTTACATCAATTATATATGTAAATGATTATGTACTTCAATTATGTAATGGTTATACACTTGTCTGTAAATTATTAGTTGATTGTGATGATCGAGATCAACTTGATTTAATCAAACAAACAGAACAATTACGTTTTCGTAATGGTAAATATCAAAAAAAAGTATATTTTGCTAAATATAATGTTTATTTTTAGGACAATCATTTTCTCATCGACTTGCCAGTTGTCCACTACGTGTTTCTTTCAATACAAATGTTTCATTATCAAAAAATGATGATGGTAATGAATTAGTATTTATTTCATTCAGAGATGGGTAACTTCAACTCCGGAGTTGGAGTTAACTCCGGAGTTGCCCATCTCTGATTTAATTCGATTGAAAACGATAGTCTTATTGTAAACTATATAATAACATTGAGCATTCTACAATTTCCTGTCTTAATAATTAAATCCTTAGAAGAATGTTTGTCTAATTTTGTACTATTTCTTTCTTTAAGCACGTCGAAAATCTCAAGCAATAATATCTCAAACAAAATCCTGTTTAAAATCAAGTACATGTGCAACAGAACAAATATTATTTTGTCAAAATCCAATTGATAGTAAATTATCCACAGCACTTCTATATAAAAATCAACCAATTGTTACGAACTGTTTTTCATATGATTTTTATTTTCCTGATCATCTTCTTCAACAAACTCATGAATGTATGATTATAGCAGCGTTAAATCCTCATTGTTTTACAGTACAACTTAAACAAGATGCGATTGAATTTGATAAATTTCAACGTGAAATTAATGATTTTTATAATACAATCGATGATAAAAAATATTTTATTCCATTAGAACAAATTCAAAAGAATTTATGTGTTATATGTGCTGATCCAAAATCTGCGGATAATGATAAAATTTGGAATCGTTCACAAATACTTGATTTTGATATAAATGATCAAACAGTTAATTTATTTTACGTTGATTTAGGTACATGGGATGAATATGTACCAATAAATCGTCTTCGTTATTTAATTGATAGTTTTCATCATCATTTAGTTTTTTCATTAACATGTCGTTTAGCTCATATATCACCAATAGATAATGATACGAAAATTGTAACATGGCCAGATGATGCAATAGATCAATTTTTAGCTGTTATTAATCAAGTTGTACCTGAAATTGAACTTTTAGCATTTGGAAATGATGGATTATTTCAAACAAATTTATTTGTTATTAATTCAGGACAATATGTTTGTGTAAATGATTATATGATACATATTAAAAAAGCGAAAGCAATTTTACAATCAACAGATATAGATGATAATAATCAAAATATCACTCAAGTAAGAAATACTTGAAACTCTGTTTTAAATATTCTGTTTATTTGATAATTACCTTAATCAGTCATAAGGATAAATCATGCTAGGTTTCTATTCACCTAATTAAATTCGCCTTAAAAGCTGCAATTGGAGGGATTTTCTCGTAAGTCTGATGTGTTTTAGTAAAACTTTTGTGAAACACGATCTAAAAGGAGTATTGAAGTGTTAAGGGCAGAAATCTGGACCCCCCCCCCCACAGACGTGATCGACACATGTTCTTTTGACCTCGTCACAGACGTGACCGATACATGTTTTTTCGACCTCGTCACAGATATAAATAGCAGATCTTCTTTTGATTATGTCATAGGCAGTGACCGTCATAGATATGAATATCGAGTTACAGAATAAAATGAAACTACTGAGTTCATATTGTTTCGAAAAGATAGATACGCAAGTAGTTTCTTTTGTATTAATCGATTTTTCTCTTCAATTTTGTAACAACTGTTAAAATGATAATCAAGCGAGTACATCATATGTTAATTCTTTCTTTCTGATATTTCTACACCTTTATGCTACAATTAAACTATTTTCTTGAAGGTAGAAACACAGTTAGATTGTGTTTCAAATTTTAATCCCGCTAGTGATATGAATTATCCACATTTATTTTTTAGTCTGATAAACAAGGTACTGTTAATCATGGTCCAATAATTCATCCAGTAATTGCTTTATACAATCAATTAGGAGAGTTCGTAAAATTTCAAATAACTATATTCAATAATTTCAATTGTTTCGTTTTTTTGCAGAATTTTAAAACGATCTATTATAAAATCTCGTTCAACTATTCTCAATAATTCATCGATTTCAATAAAACCTCTTGTAAAACTTATTCATACTAATACACAAATAAATAATATTCCTCAAAAACTACCTCTTATCTTTATACATTATGAAAAATCTATTCTTATACCTGATTTCAATATTTGTTCTTTACTTAAAATGATTAATCCAAATATTGATACTGATATTATCGAAGATTATGTAAGTACACATACAATATCATTATACAAA